AAAGAAACATTGGCCAGGAGAATGGCTGGATAAGGAGTCACAGGAGAGCTGACCCTGAAGGATAGAAGCAAGGAACCATTTGTACCATTGCATGGCATTATGTACCAATTTGCAGCTTTTAAGCCTCACATGAGAAAAGCCAGTACCATTAAACATGTTAATGCAGGGCCGGCCCGGTGGCGCACTGCTACAGTGCGCCGCTTGGGAGCGCAGCGGCCTCCCGCCGAGGGTTCGGATCCCACATACAGACCGGTTCCTGCTCACTGGCTGAGCGAGGTGCGGGCGCGACACTGAGGGTTGCGATCCGTTGCCGGACACGAAAAAAGACAAAAAGACAAAAAAATAAAAAAACCATGTTAATGCAGTGTCTTCCCTAAAAGCTGAAGGTATTCCTCCCAGGGATTGTGCCTTACGAGCTCACCCTGCCCTCTTTTTCTTCCACAGAGGTCCCAGTCTGCGTTCTCCATCACTGGAGAAGATTCCCTGAAGACCTCTTCACTGCAGGCCGCAGCGAGGCAGCTGAGGGACGGGGGCCAGCACCCAAGGGAGGAACCCGCTTTGCCCAGTTGGAGGAGCATGGACAGGCTGGACAAGACAAGTAACTGTTCTAGCAGTGTCCAGTTGACCCGTGGGTTTCAAATGTGCTGTTTGGAGGCTTCTCGATTACTGCGTGGCCATTCAGCTCCTATTCCCATAAGTCTGAGCTGATGTGTTCCCATTTGGGGCATGGAGCCACTGAGTTGCGAGGCCTCTAGCACAGCACACAACACATAATTTAGTCATGTTTTCCACCTGGGCTGTTTTCCTGGTTGGTGTGGCATAATGAAGGCTCTTGATATGTCATCAGTATTGCACGTTCTGTGGGACAGTGGGGGCTCCTGGGCAAGCGTGTTAAAATCACTCCACTGCACAGCCCCACCGCAGCTGCCTGCTCCATGTGGACTGGGAGAGTGTGTCTTATGTGGGCCAAGGGCACTAAACCAACCTATCAGGGCATTTCAACATTCAAAGAGATTTGGGTTCCAGCATCAGTCTGGTTTTAAGGGTGTCCTTTCTAAAGCTGGATATATTAGTTAGGATAACACTGGCTGCTATAACAAGTAAACCAAACATTCAAGTGGCTTAACACAATAGTTTTTTGTTGTCGTTGCTATTGTTTTTGTAACACAACAGTGCAGTGCAGGTGTCCCTGGCCAGTGGGCAGCCTTCAGAGGCCGAGACTCCCACCTTGTGAGCTTTCTGCTGGATCATCTACATTCGGCCAGCAGATGGAAGAGGAGAGAATGGAGAAGGCAGCTTACCTGCTCCCTAACCACCCTAGCAGGGACACACACCACTTTCACTCCCGTCCTGTGGGCAGGAACTGGTCACATGGCCCTACCTCAATGCAGGGGGACCTGGGAGATTTGGTCTTGGCTGGGCTGACACAGCCCAGCAATATTGCTTGGCCACAAAAGGGTCTCTGATGGGTGGTTGTCTACCCCTGCCACACCTGGGGATGGAAGTGCCATCACTTCACTCTCCCTGCTTCCCTCTCCTAGACGGTCCCACCCTACAGGGCAACTGAACTCCCTTCTTCAGAAACTCGACAACATCTACAGGACACAGCCCTTCACAAAGCTGTCAAGTCCTGTAATCCTTCAGAATGAAGAGGCTTCTAAAGACACTCCATTTCACAAAACAGTTCCCCACTGGATTATGAGCATTCCTAACAAATTTGCAAAGGAATTTGGTTTTCAAAACTAAATGTGTGCATAATTTTTTGTAAAATTAGGTGCCTTTATGTAATTTATCAATTGTGTACAAACATAAAATTTAGTTCAACAGCATCACACAAAAATTCATACATCTCAAAATTTCATGCATCTCTTAGGATGAAGATATAAACTAAAAAATAAAAGCACTTGGGTAGAAAACTTCGGTTTTTCTGTGGAATGTTCAGCCCTTGACATGCTAAAATGTCCATGCCAACCCCAGAGGTCTTGAGGGCTGTCTGATATGTTTAGCAGGAAGCAAATCATTCCCAGAGGCATTGCTCCATCTCCGCAGAGCACAGACGTAGAACAGAGAAGGTCCAGAGGTGGAGGTCTTCTTAAAGGTTAATGAATGTCCACTGGGCTTCTTTCAGCAGTTTGTTTATGCCTCCAGAGAAGAGCTGGTACAGGAGCCTATCAGTGCACACACAGGGTCAGCCTTAGGGCTGGGTTTGGTTAAACCACAGCAACTCCACTTCTAGTCGTGACACTGCTTACAGCAGTTAACAGATTTCTCCAAAATGCATTTTCACTTTATAGACCTTGACTAAGCATCTACTGTATACACAGCATGTGCTCAGTGTTGGGGAAAGAAAGATCAGGGGATTGTCACTGCTTTTGAGTTGCTCACTTAGAGCTGTCTGTGGAATAATGAAAGAGCAGGGGTTTAGAGAAAGGAGGAATGAGAGAAGCAGGGCCCTGGAGGGATTCTCCCAGTGGACTAAGAGAATGTGGGATTGGAGCCCAGATACAGCTTTGAGCAGTTCTGATGGTGCAGCTTGACAACAGCCAAGGTTTTCACAGGGTTGGGTATTCAGAGAATCATCTATGTTTTTGCTAAGAAGGATGGCTTTTTGCCGAGATAAAATTTGGCCAACTTCTTTGTTCTCAGAGGTACATGGCAACTTGGAGTTGCAAAAGCCACAAAAGAGAGGAACTGGCAACAAGCTGAACCCCATCCCACCAAGTGGTGGTTGTTGGAGTTCAGGGACCACATTAACAACATGGTTGGCCCTGGAGCCAGGCACTGAGTGGCATGATCGGGATTTCCTCCCATAGCCGCAGGAGAAGCTGTAGACAGCAAACTCATGGAGAGCTGCACAGCAAGAGTCTTGCTCCTGCAGCCTGTTGGTGCCTGTGTTCATTGACAAGTAGCCTCATGTGCCCAGATGGGGTCCGGAGCTGGCCAGGGGCTGGCAGTACAGGAGCAAGGAAGAGGTGGCCCTGCCTTCAAGGAGCTCACAGTCAGACCTGGGAGGCAGAGTAGACAACCAGGAAAATAAATTATAATACAGTGTAAGTGTTTAGAAATGAAAGCTTTTGGGCAAAGCTCAAAGAACAGAATAGCCAGCTCCTCAAGGAAAGAAGGCCAAGTATGTGCCACTGAGGAGCGGTCTGTGAGTTGAGTCTCAGAAGATGGTCCCAAGAGCAGACTCAGTGGCCAACAATAAGGCCCAGAGGACCTTTCCTTTCTTCTCGGAGCACACATGCTCCACAGCTGGGGCCCAAGTCTACTCTGCACCTTGTGGGTGTCTTGTTTGACTTCTCCCTGAATTCAAGGATCTGAGGACCTGTAGTTTATGAGAGGTGAGCCTAGAAAACATAGAGGGCAGGAAGTGGGGACATGAGACAAGGAGAAAAGACAGGCAGTAGATGACTTGTGACACTGTGGGTGATTGGAGTTCATCCCTTTTGGGGAACTCCAGGAGCCAGTGTAGAAAATTCACCTTTCCAGCAGACAAGGGAGCTGGAGTACTTAGCCACCCGCTCCCTCAGTCACCAGCATTTCCATCGTGCCCCTGGGGCAGGCAACACAGGCTCTAGTAGCCAGAGCAAGCCTCAAGCAAAGACTTGCAGGTGCTGACCAGTTGGAGGCCCAGCCAGTATACACAGAAGTGGCAAGGACCAAGGTTTTGGGGAAGGCTGCTGGGAAAATTAATATTATCCCTTACAACAGGGCCTGCTGCTGGGAAAATTAATATTGCCCCTTACTGGCCATTAATAGCTTCATTGAGAGCCTGAGCATTCCTGAGAAACCCATGAAACAGCACTGAGAGAATGTCAGCCAAATAGAAACACTTTCCCAGAAGACCTACTATCACTACCACCACCACAAGTAGAGCCCATAAACTGTAAATGGCAATAACAAGCCTAGTTAGTCACTCTTCTGAGAGTTTACATAGTCAATAAAAATAGCATTGCTGTGTGGATAATAATACACACTCCTGAATAGTGACTATAAGATATATACAAGTATATATGTTTTCTATGTACATACATATGGAGTACATGGATATTGATCCATAATCAGGTGTTAAATACTAATGCTATAGTCCAATTCAACAGATATAAGGTAAAAATAGCCAAGGGTCCTCAGTGCAGCAGGCACTGTAATCAATGTTTTACATATTTTATCTCATAATAATCCTAAAGATAGGCAAGGTGGGTCACACTGACCCCACTGACAGGCCAGGAGACAGCCTCAGAGGTGCTCTCTGACCACGGTCAGCTGCTAATAAACTCAGTAACTGCGGATCAGCCCAGCCTGAATCCAGAGTTCTTGTTCTTTGCCCTGCACTGAAGCAGCCTCATTCACTTACGGATAAGGGGGAAAGGAGCGACCAAGACAATGTGCTCTGGGCACACACATGCAACACACTTTAGGAGCCTCCTCATGTAATGCCCACATCAGCCCAGTGAGGTATTAGCTATGCCCTCTCCACCTGTGAAGGAGCTGAGACTCAGAGAACCCCTGAGCAGGTTTGCTGCCCAGGCCCTTCGAGTTCGACACTGCTGGTCCTTCCAGTGCATGAACAGGCTCTGGGACAGAGCAGGCTAATTTGCATCTAAGGATGAGGAGATGAGTGAGATCCAGGCCCTGCCTCAGGGGCCTTGTCATCTGGAGGATGGCCCAGCTGCATGCATGATCAGCCAGACACAGGCAGGACCACGGAATGAGCCAGCCAGGCCATCATGCCGGGGGGCTCAGAGAGGGGAGGCCAAGTCCAGGCAGGGAGATGAGAATACACCCTAGGAAAAGGGGGAGGCAAGGATGAGGAGTTTGAGGACCATGGGGACTTCAACACAGGGACATGGTGGAGACAGATGCTGAAGGCAGAAGCAGCAGGAGAAAGGCCAGGCTCATGGCCTTTGGCTTCCAGGAGGCCCCTGCTTATGTCAGCCCACTGCTGGGGCCCAGCATCCCCCTGTGAAAGAGAGCCCAACCTCCTGATTCTCAGAAGAAAGGGGACTCGATGTCCTGCAGTCTGAGCCACAGTCAAGCAGCTGAAAGGGACCTGGGCTGCTGAGTTGAAAACATATGTACCACCACCATCTGAATTCCTCTAAAGTTGTGGTTCTGAAACAGGCCTAGCAAGTACAATACTCTGTAGACAACCCTGTGAAATGCTGACAACTTACATTTCATTATATGGAGCAGTAACAGTCTAATGTAGCATGAAGTAGGACCCTGCCTCAAGGTCCTACTGCAGCTGAGCCGTGGCCCCTGTAGGCCTCAAGCCCAGAAGCTGGTGTTCACACACAAGTTGGGAAAAAAATCCCCTGCAAAGCCCTGGAGCCCTCATCACCCACCCCCAAAAGCCCTGGAAGGGTCATGGTAAAAAAAACAGCTTCTGGGGGGGAAAAAAACAGCTTCTGCTGGCAACTACTGTGTCCAATGCCACAGGGCTAGGCTGGGCTGGGTACCCCTGGCTAAAGGAGCACTGTGTCCTTACTCCTACTCCGCAGGCACATGAGCAGGAAACATTTTACTGTTTGCCTTCAGCAAAAACAAGACAAGGCAACTTTTACCCCCCCTCCCACCCCACCCCTGCATGTAGATCAACCCTTAGGGATAGCAGCAAGCTGAGCACTACTCCAGCCTGCTCCCGTGAGCTGCTTTACAGCTGGTCTAGGGCTTGCATGGCACAGTCTATAACCTTGAGCTGCCTTGGAGTTGGGTAGAGGACACAATCTGTCCTGACTCTATAGGTTACTGGTGTTATGACTTTTGACAAGTGCTTAACTCCACTCATCCTCATTGCCTCGTCTGGAAAATGAGATTGGAGGTACCAACCTCTTTGGGCCTCAAGTTCTTTCCAGAACGAGGTGTGTGCCTTGAGTTAAACATGGACTGTGTGGCCATCTCCCAAGGCTGTTTGGAGTGAGCTCTGTCAAAGTGCCGAGGGCAGATGTGTTAACCCGTGAGATAGGCAGAGGGGAACTGGGGATCTAAGAGACAAAACCAAGGTCAAAGAGCCAGAACCTGGGGCTGCCAACTGCAGCCCTCTCCCCCCTCCCTCCGAGACAGCCTGGGGCAGGAGTGGGGCAGTTCTGAGGAGACCAAGGTGACCATCTGCCCAAGCAGACATGAAATAGGAGCCTAGTCTCTGAGTTTCTCTTCATCTGTGAAGTACGAGGGCCCTGGGAGGTCTCAGGGATTTCCAGGAGACCTTTACACTGCCCCCAATTAAGTGTGCCCTCCTGGTCTTCCTAAAGGCAACTGCTCCCCAACACCCCCCCCAAGCCAATTACAGGGAGGTGACAGGTGACAACCTCACCTTGCTCTAAGATGATAACAGTCCCTCTCTGGTTTTTGTCTTCCCCCCACCTGCAGACCTGGCCCCAGTGTTGCAGAGCCCCGACGGAAATTGGGTAGCCCTGAAGGATGGCACTCTGCCCCCCACCCGCCTGCTGGCCAAACCTAAGAGCGGGACCTTTCAAGCCCTGGAGGTGGCCTCCAGTGTGGCGTCTGCCTATGATGAGATGGGCTCCGACAGTGAGGAGGACTTTGACTGGAGTGAGGCCTTGAGCAAGCTGTGCCCGCAGTCCCGGGGCCTGCCCAGTAACCCTCAGCCTCAGCCCATGCAGGCACAGGGTTCCGACCAAGGCCCCTCAGCGGCCTCCCCCTCCTCCGGGCTCTCTCTCAACCCCGAGGCCATGTGCTCTGACTCAGAGACCTCCTCAGCGGGTTCCTCCCGGGCCAGACTGCCCTGTTTGCAGAGGAAGGCTCCCAGGAACTCCGCAGCTGAGAAAATGCGCCTTCAGGGAGAGCTGGATGTGAACTTCAACCCCCAGGCGGCCAGCGGGGAGACTTCTGACAGCAGCGAGCCGGAGCAGGCCCCCCACGCCACAGACCGGCGGGCCAGGAGGTGGAGAAGGGCCCGAGTGGGCTTAGAGGAGCCAGGGAAGAAACCGTCTGCCCCCAGCACCCATCCCCAGGATCTGGACCCACATCAGGTAATAGCACTGCACACAGGCAGACACACACAGGTTTGTAAGTAGGATATGCCCTCCTCTAAGCACGAGTGTCATAGGGGGTCCTGGGCTTGGAATCCACAGACCCAAATTTTCATTTTGGTTTTGCTGCTAAGTAGCCAAGTGACCCTAGAAAGGTCACATCCACTCTCTGGGGCTGTATGTCCTCCCTTTGGAGATGATAGCTTAGAATTCAAAGTGTGGTTTGGAAAGTATGGCCCTCAGACCAGCAGCATCAGTACCACCTAGGAACTCATTAGAAGGGCAGATTCTCAAGCTCCTCCCCAGACCTGCTGGATCAGAAACTCTGGGGATTGGGCCTAGCCACATCTTCTATGACAAGCCCTCCAGGTGACAATACTGTTCACTAAAGTTTGAGGGCCACTGGGTTAGGGTTAAGGGTGAGGGACCTGGAGTCAGACTGCCTGGATTCAAATCCAACCGTGTGACCTGTGGCAAGACATCCCTCTAGTTCTCAGTTTCCTCATCCATAAAGTGGAGATAACATTAGAACCCACCTGAAAGGATGGCTGTGACCAGTGAATGAGATAATGTTTATAAAGAGCTAAGCTCTATCCTAGACACAGCATGAGGGCTCAGTGAATACTATTTCAATATGATAACTCAGGGCGCAATTTACTAACATTGTGTGATTGTGTAGCCCACATCACACCCCTTCTCAGGATCCTCAGTGGCTTTGCCCACATGGTTTAATTCAAGAACTTTCTTTGAAAATGTGATTAAAGCTATGAACTCTCTCACTAGAAAAATGCACCTGTACACACACACGCACACACACACTTTTGCTTACAATTTCAGATAGTTCGTGGACTCCAACCAGGTTAATTTTATATTCTCTAAATACACCCTGCTCATTCCCAGCTCTACACCTTTGACTGTGCTGTGTTCTCTCCCCTGCCCTCACCTCCACCTTTGCCCCTGCCCTAGACCCCACCTTTTCAGGTGAAGCCCTGCACATCACTGTGGATTCAATACCAAACCTTGTGGAGCCCACTCTGGCCTACCCATCACAGTATTTTCTAAATTCAAAGTGACACATGTGGCCTGAAAATATTACTGGCAGACCAGGCTCGGCTCACCCTCTCACATTAAACAAATGACTCGAAAGTCCAGAAGTTGGTGCAAGGATTGGAATGTTTATTCAGATAAAGGGCATCTGGGGGATAACCAAGCTAAAATCATCCCACCTTCTGATGCCTGTTCTGGGTTTTATAAAGGGGAAGAGGCAGGAAGATGAGGTAAGGTCTTCGTTCTGAAAAAAAGGAGGAGGCTGGGAGGAGCAGATGGTCTGAGTCAGATGTCAGGGTCCCATGATGGATTTGGAACTTAAGCGTCACTGAGTCTGTGGTCAGCTTCAAGCCCCTGATGTTACCTCAGGGTTAGAGTCCTTATCTCCTAGGGAGAGCTCAAGGATAATAACCTCAGTCAAACATAAAAATACCTGACTTGGATTTCTACGTGGATGCAATTTTCCTTTAAGTAAAGGGAGAGCTCATAACCAACTAGGTTGTCTTGCCTTTCCTATATCTCCTCTTGTTTGCAGCTGATTAGAAAAGTAAGAAAAACAAGAAACTTAGTTTCAGTCCTTAACTGTAGGTGCACAACCTCTGCAGTAAATCAACACAAGAGAGGTGATTTCATCTCTGGGCAGTCTCAGCTATATGGTCCAGCTCTCAATTCCTCTGCTAACCTCAAGGATGATTACCAGTTTCCAAGTTAATAGCTGACTGAAATGTTCTGCTTGGTCTTAGTTACCGCAAAGATGGCTGTTTTTCTGGCTAGGATCCCTTTCAAAAAGTTTAAACGACCTCATATAAGCAATGGATTACAATATTTGAAACTGAGAGTCTTGTGGAAAGTCTAGTAATATTGCCATTGCCTTCAGTAGACACATAGTCATTGGTCATATGATTATCAACTTGACTTTTTACACTCCTGGAGAAACCACACCCACTTCCTGAATGTCACTGTAGCTCGACAGTCCCCAGCTACCATGCCCTGCACTCTTAGTTTAAGTTCCACCAAAAAAGCAGGGCCCGAGTCAAGGAATTGGATGTAGATAGTTAATGTGGAAGGAGATCCCAGGAAGCCCAAGGATGGGACAGGAAAGTAAGAAACACCAGTTAAGGTATGCTATGGGCAACTGGGGCTCAGCCCCACCAGGGACCTCTGAGAAACCATGTGGGACACAGCTCAGAATTCTCCCACCAGAGGACAGGGAGCATTCATCCATGGTCTCCTATCTCCCACTGATAGAGGGTTATCCCCCACCCAGGGTGGGCATTAATTCCATACACAGCCATGTTTATGTGCGTGGTGCCTAAGAAATCCCTCAGAGAAGAAGAAAGAGACGTAGCTTTGAGGTGGAAACCTATCAGTGGGCCAGAAACTGTCCCCCACAGCTGTGGGAAATTCACGCACCAGGGGATAACGGGCTGGGACTTCACTGGTGTCTGCTACAATATCTTATATGAATGCATCAGCCAGATCCCTGATCCTGAGGCCTCCATGAAGATAGCTGTGGACTCAGAGGCCCTCAAGTCACAGAACTGAGCATCCATCTCACTTGACCTGCTAATATATTGCCTAAAACAAGTCTTTTATTTGTTCCAAGCTCTCATTTCTTCTTTGTAAAACAGAACATTTAAAATCTGCCTCATGGGGTTGCTATGATCATAGAGTAAAAATAAAAAGTTTGGTTCCATTTTGAATCATTATTATCTAGCACAAGTGGAGACTGCTGTCCAAAGACTCTGGGCGACTTGCCTGAAGGGATGTTCTTGAGAGTTGTCAGCATAATTCACTTGCATGTATAAAATGCCACGTCTCCACTATAACTAGGTGCCTGAAGCTTCCTATTTATTCTGAAGTGGCTTGAAAGTTGTCTTCTGATGTTAATCTTTGCAAGGCACAATAAAGAGAAGGCAAGGACCAGCAGAAAGGCTCTGGACCAGTGTTGCCTCTGACATCCTGGAAGTGACTTTGAGCAGATGGCAGTATCCTCTCCTCTCCACTAGGTGGGGATGGTGCTGCGCTTCCAGAGACATCAAAATGAGGGCCTCCTCCCCTTCCAAACCTGCTCCCCTCCACCTTTAGTTTACTGGGGCAGTTCTCCAAAAAAACTAAATTATATATATTTAAATTGTTTACTTACTTTTGAATATAAAGAAAATAAATGAATATAATGTAAAAAATATTAAAACATGAAGATGCAGTTCCCCTTGACCACAACCCTAAATCCCCATCATTTCCCCCAAAATGACTAAAAGTGTATTTGGTGTGAATCCATGCAGATCTTTGTGCATTCATATACCTATAGCACATTTAGAAACATAGCTCAGTAATGTGTCTGTTTTAGCAAAATTAGCATCATGCTCTCCATATTCTTCTGCTGCTTTGTCTTAACAGTAAGTAATAAAGGTGTCAGTGCACACAGATCTACAAAAGACATACAAAGCAGGAGCCTGGAGGTGGGAGCAGTTCAACCAGGGTGCAGGCAATAAGGGGTGTGTTGACTGTAGGGAATTTTAAAACAATAATAAACCCAATAAAAGTCAGTCTTTTTATTATCACCATGCACAGACAATTCTAAGCAATGCTAGTGGTAACATACTCTTTTCCACACTGGGCCAGGGGATTTCAGTGCCTTCTACCCCTCCGACCTCCTTGGTTCACCACTGTTTCATAATGGTGGATATTTAAAGACTTTTATAATGGTTTGGTCTTGTAAAAAAATACCACAGAGAATATCATTCTGCAAACTTCTTTATACAAGTGGAATTGCTAACTTGAGACATATATGGATCTTTAATTTTTAAAGTACACTTGCCAAATTAAGCTTCCAAAACATCATAGCAATTTACACAGCTATAACAGGGTATGAGTATGTTCTCTCATGTTGTCAACAATAGTGTTGTCGGTCTGTTAAATTTTTGCCAATTTTATGTGAGAAAAAATAATTCTTTTTAGTTAACATTTTCATAATTACTACTGAGACTGAACATGTTTTCCTATGTTTAAGGCTATTTGCATTTTTTTCTTCTGTGAAAGACACATTTGTATTTTTTGTCTATTATTTTAATTAGAGTACTTGTCTTTTTTCTTGTTGATATTTAGGAATTAGTTTTATTATGTAATTATATTATAGGTTTTAATTCTTCTATAGTTACACATGAAAATATTCTTTCTCCTTGTCTGTCACTTTTGCCTTACCTTTAAGTATGTTTTATATGCCAAAATTTTGTTAATAATAATCTGTCAATTATTTTCTTTATTGTTTTTATATTTTGTGCCTTGTTTAAGAAGGCCTTAAATCCCCAAGGTTATAGGAATTTTTCCAACTTTTTCCGGGTGTTTTCTAGTTTTATATTTTTCATTTAGCCCTTTAGCCCCTTTTTTTTTTTTTTTTTTTTTTTTTTTTTACTTTTCTGGATGATATCAGGTAAGCTCTAACTTTATTTTTTTCAAATTAAATATTTGTCACAAAACCATTAGTGAATAATCCATCATTTATCTGCTAGTTTCAGATGCCCCCCTTAATATATGTTAACCTTTTATTTCCATGAGCCTGTGGGGTTTTTTGTTGGGTTTGTTGTTGTTGTTGTTGTTGTTGTTACCTTTCTATTTTAGTCCATTGATCTAGAAGTCCCATTTCAGTACAAATACTACTTTATTTTAGTTATGATAACTTTATAATATATGTTGCTATCCAGTGAATGGTCTTCACTTTGTTGTTTTTGTGGATGATGATATCATTTTATGAAAATGTCTTGGCTTTTCATAGAAGTGATTTTTTAAAATTTGCTCTTCAGGTTACAAGATGATCTTTTTAAGTTTTGATTGGAATTGCACGAAATATATGTATATATCTGGGGATAATTTATATGTTTATAATATTGAGCCTTCCTGTTTAAGATCTATTGACTTTCAGTAAAGTTTTTTAGATATTTTTCAAAGCTTCA